TTGCACAAGCCTTGGAAACGTCTCGTTGGCACCTGGGTTCCATCAGGCCCTGCTGTGTTGACAACTTACTCTTTTTTCCATGAGATTTCATTGCCTCACAATGGTTACCTTGGTTCCATGATGGCCCTCTCTGTTACAAGAGCGCCTTGGTGTCTCTGATATTCCCTTGCGTCACAATATTCCTGTGTCCTCCTGTGTTTCATCAGGCCTGGATGTGTCATAATGGACATTTGGTTCCATGCACAGTTGCAATGTCCCAGTGGTGCCTGTGTCCCATGAGGCCATGCTGTGCTACAAGTGACAGTTTGTTCCATTATAATCCATGGAGCCACAATGGTCACTTGGGTTCTATGAGACCTCGCTGTTCTGAGAATCAACACTTGTTTCCTCAGGATTCCATAGCTTCACAATGTTCTCCTTAGTTCCATGAGGCCACACCATTTCACAACAGCCTCTTACTTCCATAAGCCACGGCACAGCCCCAGTTGCCCCTGGGTTCCATGAGACCATGCTGAGTTCACAATTGACACTTAGTTCCATGAGATTCCATTGTGTCACAAGGGTCCCCATGTTTCTGCAAGGCAACACTGTGTCACAATGGACACTGGAGTCACAATAGACATTGAGTTCTGCCTGCCCTGGCAATATCCCAGTAGCACCTGGCTTCAAGGAGGCTCCGTTGTGTTTGCAGCTGACACTTGGTTCCCAGGGATTGCACTGCACGGCAGGGGTCTCCTGGATATCATGAGGCCTGCCTGTGTCACAATGGACACTTGCTTCCATCAGACTGCTTTGTGACACAGTGGCCTCCTAGGTCCAATGAGGCTTGCTGTGCAATAATGGAGCTTTGTTTCTACTAGGCCCGGCAAGGTCCCAGAGTAACCTGTGTCTAATGAGGCCCATCTTGCCCAAACTAGAGCCTTGGATCTATGACATTCCACTGCATCACAAAATTGTCTTTACTTTCATGAGAGCCTGATGTGTTTATATTGATGCTTGGTTCACCACGATGTCATGGTGTCACTGTGCTCTCCTGTTGTTCATGAGCCTGTGTTATGTCACAATGGACACTGAGTTCCACCTGCTCTGCCAATATCCAAATAGCATCTGGCTTCAAGGAGGTCCTGTTGTGTTTGCAGTTGACTCTTGATTCCCAGAGCTTGCATTGTGTCACAGTGGTCTCCTGGGTGCCATGATGCCCTCCTGTGTCACAATGGACACTTGCTTCCATCAGATTCCATCGCGACACAGTGGCCTCCCAGGTGTCATAAGGACTTGCTGCACGATAACAGAGCCTTATTTCTGCTAGGCCTGGCAATGTCCCAGAGGCACCCTGGTCATTGTAGAGCTTTGGCTCCATGAGATTCCATTGTGTCACAATGGTCAGCTGAGTTCTATGAGGCTGCGCTGTGTCACAATGGACACTGAGTTCCACATGCCCTGGCATTATCCAAGTGGCACCTGTGTTCCATGAGGAGCTGTGTTGTTCAAAATTGAAACTTTTTTCCTCAAGACTCCTTGCATTACAGTGCCATGAGGCCCCAGTGTCCAAGTGCTGACACTTGCTTCCATGAGATTCCATTGTGTAACAATGTTCTATTGTGTTCCATTAGGCCCAGCTGTTTCAACAATGGACACTTGCTTGCATGAGCCTTTGAAATGTTGAATCGCCCCAAACCAGGCCAAGAGATATTTCTGAGACAAAGTCCAAGAAACAAGTATTTGCTTTATTTAGTGTGCTGGGTGCACAGGGATCAATCCTCCTAGCATCACCACACCCAAGGTACACAGCATATTACAATACGTGTTTATACTTCATGCGTTGTTTTCCTTAGAAAAGTTGTGGTTATACAAACTATTTCTTAGAACTCATCATTATCATTAGCATATGCAAAACAGAGGTACAGTGCACCCAGGTCTCACAGAGGAAGGCTTTGCATCCTCCTTGGTGGTCCACTGAAGAAGGCTGGATGTCTTTATCATCGTGACCATTTCACCTTTCTCCTCTAGGCATGAGCAGTCTCTTGTTAGCTGTTTCAGCAATTTTCTCACTGGTTTTAGCAAGCTTTGTACTGCATTGTTCGAAGTTTTGTTCCCCATTTTTTGCCCAGTTTCATCCTGTGTCCAGCTTGTGACTAGGATTTGCCAGGTTCTCTATTGGCTACAATGGATCTTATTCTTGCCCAAGTATGCCTAGGCATGATGCTTTTAAACCTTTCAACATCCTATTGGCACCTGGCTTCCATGTGGCCGTGCTGTGTTGACAATTTACACTTTGTTTCAGGAGAGTCCATTGCCTAACAGTCTCCTTGGTTTCATGAGGCCCTCTGTGTTACAATGGAGCCTTGGTGTCTTGAGATTCCATTGCATCACAATTGTCTCCTGCATTCTGCTAAACCTGGCTGTGCCATAATGGACACTTGCTTCCATGAGCAGTGCCATGGAGTCAAAATGGTCACTTAGGTTCCACGAAGCCCAAGATTTTGGCAATTGACACTTGTTTCCATGGAATTCCATTGTCCCACAATGTTCTCCTGGGTTCTGTGAGGCCCTGCTGTCTCACAATGGCCCCTTGCTTCCATGAGCCATGGTCCAGTCCCAGTTGCCCCTGAATTCCATGAGGCTATGCTGTCTTCACAATTGACACTTTGTTCCATCAGATTCCATTCCAATGGTCTCCATGTTTCCATCTGGCTGTGCTGTGTCACAATGGACACTGGATTCTACAAGAGCTGGTAATGTCCCAGTGGCACCTGTGTCCTATGAGCCCTTACTTTGTCCAAGTAGATGCTTGGATCCGTGAGATTTCAGGTTGTCACAATGGTCTGCTGAGCCATGAGGCTGTGCTGTGTCACAATGTACATTGAGTTCCTTGTGGTGATGGCTAGGTGACAAGATAATGCTTGAGCTATGCAAAGGCTGTAGCTATGCAGAAAGTGTAGTTACTTTGGAACAGGGTATGTGAAATCAGCAAATTTAGCAAATTTAGCAAAACAAGCTAACTGCAAAAGCTAACCAATGGCTCTTTGAGCAGACAATCTTATACAGTTTGCACCGAAAACAGAGGTGAAAAATTCAAACCCCAGGAAGACTTACGAGCCTTCATCCAAAGCAACAACCAGGAGCCTGAAGATCACCTCATGCAGAAACTGCGCATGTGCTACAAGGGCTTACATAATCGTATAATTAGAAAATACATTGCAATATGAAGGTTAGAAAAGTATCATATACATCTTATGTAAAAAAGTATAATTGTAGTACTGTGCAAAGAATGGACAAATGAGTTTGTGGTGGAGCTATCCCCCTCACTCCTGGCATCAATTAAACAAATACCTGCTCCGTAGGCCCTATACTATGGACTACTGTTTTCTTGCCTAATTTTCAGGCATCAGTTTGTGACACTGTGGCAAGATGGGACTCTGCCTAGCTGCAAGATCCATTAGTGTTGAGGACTCCCTTGGTGTGCCCCAAGGATTTCTTGGAGGGATTCCTGAGGGTGCTGTTTTACTGTAAAGCCAACTTAGAGCCTCTCATTTGCTATTGAAGAGCAGTTCAAACAGGACATAGCCCTTTTTGCTGAGATGCACCCAGAAGGGTGGGCTCAGCATCTTTAGAGAAGGTTAGAGTAGTTAGTGAAGGCGTGTTTTCCACTGCGTTATCTGCTTGCTTGAACATTGGTAGTTGCCAATTTCCTGCCTGTGCATGAAATCAATGCATCAATTTACTTCCTGACTCCCTAAGCTTATTTTGCTTTTTTTTTAGGCCAAAAGACAGTGAAAATAAATTCAAAATTGTTCAGCAGCTGCTGAATTATTCTCTACATCATGTCTTTACCAATGCTGAGGGGTACCATCATGCCACTACTTATAGGAAGTGGACTTCACCTCACTGACTGAACAGCAAGGGATGCTGTATCAGTCCCTGGATATTAACTGTCACAGACATCTTTTCATGAAAAATCCTTTCCTTAGGATTTTTCCTCCTGAGAAGCTGAGAGGCCTCAGGAACAAAATGTAAACAATGGTTATCTGCTGCTGTGGAATGTAACAGGTGGGTCTTTGATTGGCCCATCTTGGATGTTTATAATTAATGGCCAATCACAGCCCAGCTGGCTCGGACAGAAAGTCCGAGACAGCTGCCTTTGTTCTTTCCTTTCTATTCTTAGCCTAGCCTTCTAACCTTTTCTTCTATTCTTTTAGTATAGTTTTAATGTAATATATATCATAAAACAATAAATCAAGCCTTCTGAAACATGGAGTCAAATCCTCCTCTCTTCTTCCCTCATCCTGTGAGGATGGAACCCCTGTGAACACCGTCACAATTAACACTGTGAGAAAAGGAACGATCTTTCAATTCCAGTCTTTCTTAAAGAGATGTAGTATATAAAATATTCCAGCTATATAAAGGGAGGACAACAGGAAGCAGCAGAAGTGGAGCAGGGAGCTGTGTGAGTCAGAAAGGGAAAAGAAAGAAGTGCTGTATGAGCTAAGGATCGAGCCCTAGCCCCTCTCGCCGCAGGTCTAGTGCCTCCTGGAGCCTCCTGGTGCCTCTGCCTCATCTGAAATGCCACCTCAGCACCCCGGCCAACTCCAGCACCCACCAGCCGGATGTCCGGTCCCGCTACCCCTCCGAGGAAAGGGGCTGCAGAGCTGCGGACCCGTTCTGGGCCATGCCTCCCCTCCCTATCTGCAGCCGGACTTAACTGGGCTCGGCTGGGCTGCTCTTGGTTCGTCTCCATTTGGCTCTGTTCGGTTGTGCTCCACTAGGTTCGGCTAGGCTCTCATTGGTTCGGCTCCATTTGGATCGGTTTGGCTGTGCTCGGCACCGCAGCCCCGGCCCCGCCATACGCGAGGGCTTGGTGGGCACAGTGGGACCACTGGACGTGGAGCGGAGGGTGGCCGGTAGGCGCTGGAGCTGTCCGGAGGCCTTCCAGGCCTCCCCCGACTCGGGAAAGGCGGCGGTATGTCGCGTCTGGCAGGCCAGACGCTGTGCCGGCGTCCGCAGCAGGGCCCGGCCTTGCACCAGAGGGCCTGGGCTCTCCGCCCCACCCCGGGGGCGGCCGGGCACTGCTCGCTGCTGCTGCAGCGGCCGGGGGGCACCGGGGACGTGCGGTGGGAGTGGAGAGCAATGAGTTCTTGCGGGCCGGACTCTCAGGGGTAGCCAGGATCCGCGGCTTCCTTCGCATCCGGTACCGGTCGCGGGTCCCACAGGGCTCCGCGGAGGAGTCGGGGGCGGGGGCGGGGGACGGAAAGGAGGCTTGTCATCCCCGTAGCACGAGTCCCGTAGAGCTTCAGGGACCTCGGCAGAGGCAATTGCAGGGCAGTGCCGCTGAAGACGAGGTGACCGTCTGCTCTAGGCCTGTCCTCGGATCCTGCTCAAAAACACAGCGCTATTGACGCGGGACACTCAGATCAGCCGTTTGCTGACTGGTAGGAGAGTTCTCTCTGCAAATGTCCCCTGGAAGAAAAACTACATATAATCTTTCCATACGACAGAAAGAGATGTGGTGAGGGGTTTTAGGAATTAACCTTTGACTGTCCTGCTTTCCTAGTCTGGCGTTCAGGGAGAGAGAGAGATGTCGTTGAAACCATTCACCTATCCATTGCCCGAAACAAGATTTCTTCATGCTGGCAGGCATGTGTACAAATTTAAAATCCGGTATGGCAGCTTCAACAGGTATGTGTGTTAAAGCCAAGAAGTCAGTCTGCTGTTTGTTGGCTGCATGTGGCAGTGAGTTAATACACAACCTTAAAAAACAAAAGGCAAGTGGATAGAAGGGTCACACGGAACAATCCTTGTGAACAAGGGATGTTTTTTATGAGTAATAGGTTAGGAATTAATCTGCCCACTAAGTATTTTTTCCTGTTCAGTGGAAATTATGTTTTGTTTCTGTTTAAACTCTTATTTGAAATGTAACTTCATTGCATTTTGACTGGGATGGTTCCAATTCTCTCTTTGTTTGCACAGCTCTCCCAATCTCAGTCTCACTGAAAGCGCTGCCAAGGAGTCGGAGGTAGGAGCTGAGGCAGGTCCATAAGACTTCAGATGGGTGTTAGTCTAAACAAATAATATGGTTGTTACCGGACTGAGAACATTTTTTCAAATGCAGCATTTCAAGTGTGAGCAATGGGGAACATAGGGGGAACTTCCCTGGAGAATCTGAGCATAAAAAACAAACAAACAAACAAACAAACAAACAAAAAACAACCACACAAATGAAAAATGTTCCTCAACAGGCAAAATTTAGTGTAGAAGAGTCATGCTTTTGTTTGAAATATTCTAAAGAAGCTACTGACTGTTGAAATTGGACAAAGGGAAACTCCTCTTTCTTGAGCTAGTTGCACCCAATTCCTGTCTGATTCCTCTTCAGAGTCATTCTTGCAGGAGCTCTTTCCCAGTATTTCAGTCTCAACCTCGAAACTTTCAAGTTGTCAGACTTGATTTAGCTGTTAATCCCTCTTGGTTTTTCAGGAGCTGTGGCAGTATGGTGAGCTGGCTCGATGGAGGCTAATCAAATGCTAAATTGCATGTGCTTTCCTTGCAACTGTTGAACCAATGAGTGTTCTTTTAATGATGCCATTACTTTGTGTCCAAGCGCAAACTGATGGTTACAATGGATGAGTTGTGTTGTTGTCATCTTCTTCCTGACACAGAAGAAGGTCCCTACCATTTCTAAGAAATTGAAACAAATATACTGCCTGCTTAAAAATGCTCCTCCCTATTACTTAATTTCTAAAAAACTTCAAAGTAAAGTAATGGCATTGAAAACCTTAAGGAAATGTGCTGATTTTAATTTATATGAAGAAGTACAATTTTTTTCACTTTTGAAAATGTTGGAAGGTATTACTAGAAAATGTTTTGTGTTTGTAGAGGAGTTTGTTGGGGCTTAACTGCATTTGCCTTATAACTGATTTGGGTCAATATTCAGAGAAAGAGGAGTAAGTAAATGCTGTGTGTGTTTTGCTGGAAAAATTAAATGACACTCCTTAAATTTAAAAGCACCACCCCCATTTTCCATAGTAATTCTTCTATGTTTATTCAAGGTTAAGGTACTCATTCACCTAAATTTCTCTGAGTCTGTCAGTGCAGTACACGCTAAAATGGCGAGAGGGAGTGGGGAGAAGAAGGGGAGGAGGAAAGGCCTAGAACCTGGTCTTCCACGATTCATGCAAACTGTAAAGTAATGTTAATTTTTCCCCAAGTCTTGAAAGTGTACTTGACAGTGGAATTGTCACTATGTTTTTAATATTTTTCCTTTGTTTATTTTTTGGCCTCTCCAGGAAGTGATTCGAGTAATCCTTGGAAATCTTGATGATTTACATCCATTTTCTACAGACCACTTCACCGTCTTTCCATGTATCCTTTTCTGTCCTACTCAAAAAAGAAAAGATTCAATGACTTGTATCTTTTGGGCATTGCATAAGTCAACATTTATGTGTAGGAGTGTGTAGTTCTTTAGCTGGAGTAGTACTACTTCAATCTTTGCCGTTTGACATTGGCTGAAGGTATTGTGAGCACTTCAGGTGTTGCCTTCACCAGAGAACTGATGTGACAAGAGTGTTTTGCAGTGTTTTCATCCAAACAGCCCTGTGTTCCAAATCAGGTTTAGCCAGAGCAAACAAAGGTATACATAAAGTGCCAGGAAGCCCATCTCATGTGCTCAGAAGCACAGCCGGTGCATTGTTCCCAAAGGTTCGTGGAATGTAAAACACTCCTTACAGGCCCAGCAATGCTGGCTCATGAGCAGGGAAACTCACATATTTGTTGTTAGGTCCCTCAAGCCACCATGAGCCTTTGGGGATGGAGGACTGGAGCAAGTGTGAATCTGCACTCATGTCTCCACAGAGATGGCTGAGAAAAGCAAAAAGTACCTCACAGAGTGAGCTTTACAAGAAGCAGTAGTTGAGCTAAGATAATTGGAAGTCCAGACTGGCTTTTAAACACACAAAGCCTGCAGGATTGTCATCCAGTTATCCTGGTTCCCTCTTCAGTCCTTGAAGCCTAGAAACAATTGTGAAGCAAATGTCATCGGCACAGTATTCACTTTACTGCACTCATGCCTCTCACCCCTATGGGACCAGTCAACAGATCTTTTCTGTCTTCCCTAAAGTTTGCAGAGGCATTGAGCTGCTGTCAGTCTGTCCTGCTGTCCACAGACAGTGCTGTAAAAGCTGTGTGCAATTGCACAGCATAGTCATATAGAAGCACAGGTTTTGAGGAGTGTAGTTTCCCAGGATTTCACTTTTGATACAGAAGTGCTGAGGCATTTGACATTGGATTATTCTAGCTAGTGGCTGTACTACAGGCTCTCCTCTTTCTAGGTGTTCTATCATCAGAATACTTAAGTGGCCTTCATTTTTTTTCTTCTGGCTTGGGCAACTGGACAGAATTTAGTCGTGTCTGCTACATATTCTGCAGATTTTTAATTTAAAGTGACAATCACTTGATAAAAGAGATGGTAACTGTTAGTATTTCTCTTGTAGTTGCTGCTGTGTATTAGGTTGAGAATTTACTCTCCTGAGACTTTTGTTGAAGAGAAAAGTAATCCAGTTAAATGTTAGTGTTTTCCAGTCCTAAAGGTGTGTCCATTTTTGGATCAGATCTGGCATCACTTCCTGTGATTCTGAGTGCCCTGGAGTAATGAAAACCTCTGAGGCATTCCCCTCCTGTCTTAGAAGACTGCATTATGCCTCCTAATAGCAGGCATAATGGAATGAGAAATGAGGCCATCCTTTTTCTCTGTCCGAAGCAGGTACATATGACAGCAACTTACTTACATTAGAGTCAAGAAGATGAGGTAGCCAAGAGCATCGTTATACAGAAGACGCCCAATCCAACCAACCTTATTAGTTTGCTCTAAAGCTCAACCAGTTCTGTCTGTGTATTGAAGAGTGTTTGGTTTACAAACTTGTATTTCTAGAACTTGTAAGTTCGTCCACATGCTCGCCCAGCACTGGGCCTGGAAGAGAACTGTGAGCTCAGAGGCCTGGCATGAGGGGTTGTCTGACAGTTGGTGTGTCGGGCTCCTCTCTGTAGAGTGACAGTGTCTTTGTTAATCCCCAATGATGAGTCCCTCAAGCTAAAAATCAGGCAGTTTCAGTCCTGAAAGGAACTGATTGTATCAATGTTTCATCGTCTTCTGTCCCCAAGACTTTAGTTTCTGCTAGCAAATGAGGACTAACAGTATTCATTTCACCTGTTTCTCCCTGAGATCAGAGGTGTGTAAGGAGACTTATGTCCAGCACCATTTGACCTTCCAAGCAGAAGCTCCTGCATGTCAGAACTGCACTCACATGAAGGAATGGCTGTCATGTCAATTATCTTTTTTCCCCTGTTTTGAACTGTGAAGTAAATTTAATGATGCTGTGTCATGGTTTGACACTGGCGCAATGCCAGTGCCCCCATGAAAATATATTCTCCCTGTTGTCTGCTGTGAGATGTGACCAGGAATACAGCAAAGCAGGCTCCAACTTAGAAATAAAGAAAAAAAACTTTATTAACCTACAGCTACATATAAAAAAAACCACACACAGAACTCAGAATGAAAACCCTCTAAAAACATTCCTCCTCCCCCCACCAAATTTCCAATACATTATAGTAGTACAGAACCTTGGATTCTCAATTCCGTTACCACCCCTCAGATCACCAACTCTCAGTCCGTCACCACCCTTTAGATAATTAATTCTTGGTTCATCAAGGAGAGAGGAGTCCCTCTTGTGCCATAGGCTTCCCCTGGAAACACATTTGAGACCTCTTGTGTTTCCATGTCACACGTGGCACCACCTGGAGATCATCTGCCATCGTGACATCTTCCTTTCATGCCCAGTGCTCTCACCATTGCACATGGACCAGGGCTGCTTCTAGGGTTCCCCTTTTGAGGATGCTTTGCCCAATTCCAAAAAAAGCACAGTCCCTCACTTTTGGGACACCTGTCCCCCCAAATTTCACCCCATGGGGCCGAGGGGGTCTCAAGAACAGAGATCTTCTTCCCTGAAGATGGAGGACACCACCACCCTCCTCACCCGTCGTCTCTGTTCATGCACTCCTTCATATAACATCACTGCACTCTCTTGGTTCCAAGCCATTGCCTGCTGCTAAAGGCAGTCTCTGTGTCACAGGAAAAATGGTTCTATCCATGGCTATACAAGTCCAGCCAAAGGCCACTCCATCATCTCCTTCCACCTAGGATTCTTCTCAACTTATCTTGGACATCTTGCACAAACTTGCATCACATTGGCCCATTTTCCTCTTATCTCATCTCTACCTCTCTTCTCATTCAACTCCAGGAGGATCAGCCTTTGTTAGGTTTCCATCACCCAAGAAAAGGGTTAAAAATCTCAGGTTCTGCCTGTCCAGAACTCCCACGCTGCCCTGCCGGGCACCATCTTGCTGTACCCCCCCCTTTTCCTTCTCAGCTGGCCGTGCTATCAAATTTCAAGCTGGCACACGCACAGGCACGGGCTCTGTCTCTCTCTCTGTCCTGGGGGAGGGGCTGCCCAATGCCTCTCAGTGCTCCTCCACCCTTCCATCCTTCAGGGACCATCACCTCCCTTCTCAGTCCAAGGCCCGGCTCACCTCACCCGGCCACATGGCTTCCCCTCCCGCACCCAGCCCGCAGCCAGGCAGGGCAGCTCTGACCTCCTTCATGGACGGAACCCAAGAGAGCTTCCCCCTGAGTTCTCTGCTTTTAACCCCCTGTGTTCTCAGCGGCGTCCTATGTCCTCAGTGGCCACACCAGGTGCCAATGTTCAAATCTGAGCACCTATTGGTCTGACCACAGCATCCTGAAAAACTCACTTCCTTTTCAAACCAGGACATGCTGCTTCTATGAATCCAAATCCTTTTTAATTTTTAAATAAAATTTTAAAATAATTCCTTTTTAATTCGAAAGACTGTTGAAGAGGTTTTTTTTTTATTTATAGGTTTGGAAGGCCGTGGGTTAGCTTTTTCAGGAGAGTGTCAGTACTGAAGGCAAGCACAATTAAGGGAACAGAACACTATTAATACAGGTGACTGATGGGACAGTGTGGATAAATAAATATGGATAAGTATTTCGTGTAGTGTGTTACTAGTGCAGTTTCACAAGTTCATAGAACAGGTTGTATTTGCTCCCTTGTGCACATGTACAGTGTGCTGTGATTTCTGAAGCTTTAGAAGACATTTTCAGGGCTCATGTTTCCTTGAAATGTTAGTGTTGTGTTTTTTGGTCTTACCATTCTTCTCAGATTTGAGTAAATGGGAGCAAGTATCAAAAATGAAATTCAAACATGAGAATGTCCATCTCATGCCTTATCCCTACATTTGTACGTTGTATCTAGAATTGAACTCATTCCAGCGAAATATATCTTGTGGTAAGTCACTGTGATTATGTTTGGGTAATTTCTGTAAACATCTATGATCTATGTCTTGCTTTTCTCTTTTCCTTTGTCACTGTATCTGAATCGGAGAGAGCAAAACTGCATGTGGGATGCCTGTACCATGAGTTTGAAATAGTGCTTAAGAGGGTGTTCCTTACTGTCTCATATTGCTTGTCTAAAATTCCCTGAATTCCCCTTTGTCTTTCCAACCACTGGTGACTCTTTTGCTGGTATTTTTGTGAAGCTATGCCCAGTGGCTCCCAACCTTCATTTTTTTGTCAGTCAGTGGGCTGGAGCCAGCACATAAATGTATATGGGACACATGTTTTTCTTCCTTGTGCATGACTACATTTGTTGACATAGAAAATCACACTCTTTGTTGCTATGTTCCTAAAGAAAGAATAGATTTTTGTAAAAAACAAATGATAGTAATCATGTTAATAATATCTATTATACAATTAGCCAACATTTTCACTTTATCAGTGTCACAGTTTCCAGGTTTTCTATGAATTCTCTGAAAAACCTCAAGACACAGCTAAGGACTCTGTAGGACTCTACATTAAAACTCCCCTGATGTGAAAACTGAATATTTAAAGTGTTTCCTGTTGTGATTATCAGTCTCTGGAAAAACTTACTGTTTTTCTTTAATGACTGCCTGGCAGATAATGGGATCTTTATAAGATGGCTAACTTTCTTAGTCTTGCCTGTTTGCATTTCCTATCAAACATACCATGTCTGGATGTAAAGACTTCTAACCATGGAGAGTTCACTCACTTCCCGCCACACCTGCTGCAGTATTTAATTGCCTTATGCAGATAGTTGTACAGCATTGCTATTCTAAAATTAGGAGCAGTGTAAGGCACTGTTACTTTCAGACTTGACGTCTCACATTTCTCTTGGTGGGGATTTTTCTTCAGGGAAATATGTGTGAATCCCATACATCCTACAGCTGGCCAGTATTCTCTAGAGGCTGTGATCCAGATGTCCTTTCATCTTCCATCTGGTGCCCAAAGCACAGTGAGATGCTAACTGGTTTTCAGGCCCTTCTCTTCTGAAGATACCTTTGGCTTCTTTAAGACAAGCAGTTGTCCCATCCCAATGATATCTGGTGTTCATAGCCAGGAATTCCAGTTCAGAAAGAGCTGTATTTGAACGTTTCCTATTTCAGTGTATCATATGCAGGTCCAGACTGTTTCACAGTAGTTTATCTTGCTTCTGGAAGAGAAATTGCACTGCAAAAACGTACTTTTCAGTTGGTTAAAGAAAGTTGAGTCCAAATATTCACCAAGTTTTATACTTCTGTTGCAGGTAAAGAAGTAAACAAGGGCAGTGATGAGCTTGTAAGTTGTGCATTTGGTTTTATTTTGTTGTTTAATTTATGTTCTAAGTATTCTTGAGAAACAGAATCTATGCCTTAAGGCAATGCTAGAGTTCTACCACTAGGAGTTAGGCAGTGTAAAGTGGCACCGAATTCTCATGTAGAACCAAGGGGAAAGACATTCTTCTGACAGTTCTGCTGAGCTTGGAAAGCAGTCCTGTATCAGGACCTAAGAGCCTGCTGCCTTCAGTTCTGTGGATTTTCTGCAAGCCTGACTGAGTGAGCTGTCCAGTGTTTTCATCCCTGGAAGAATCTGTGAGGTTGATATTTCTGAGTAATTAAGTAGTTCCCTAGGTAATGTGTCATAAACAGCAAAGTTATGCTTATTTGAGAAGTTTTTGTGTAATGAGAGTTCAGGATAGGATTATTTTCAATATAGTAAGTGTCTGAAGTGAATTAATGAAGAATAATTCAAATCCAAATTCCCCCAAGGAAGTGTCCAAATTCCCCTAAAGAATTTTTTCTATCTCTGCATTCCTGCTATTTACATTCCTTGGCAGTCCTCTGAAAATGGACAAAATAGGATGTTCCTAGAAAGAAATACTTTGTTTAAAACTATTGAGCATAATTCTCTGGCTGACCTCCCAGTGCTTGTTTTAGTCTTGAATCCTTTTTTTCTTTGTTTTCAGAGTATAAGCAGAAAAATTTTTGCAAAATATGAATGTACTAGGAATTTTGTTCTAAAATAGAAAAGTCAAAATCAATTGTTACCAATACCAAACTTGCAATCCTTTGAAGGTCAGGAAAAGAAATGAAATGTCAGAAAGTACTGCAATGAAAGAAGCAGTGAAGAGAAGAAGAGTGGAAATTAGAGATGATACCTCATGCCCACAGTCCTGTATGGACAGGTAAGTTGACTGCAAAAGAGTCTCCCAGGACACATACTAATATTCCTAATGTCTCTTGTACCTTCTTCATGCTTCATTTCTGTGCAATCCTTTGCCCCATTTTCCTTCTTCCTTTTCTTCTTGGCTAACAGAATCTAAGCATCATTGCTCATATTGGGAAAAAAGTGGTCCCGTACTTTCCAAGTTCCCATGCTATTGACCAGAGCTCTGCCTGTTTAACTCCTCTGTGTTCACATCACCTTTTGAGTCACAGTGAGGTGATAGCTCAGCGGCCAGACAGAGCAGTGCACTGGCTTGCACACCTGAGTCTAGGACGGCAAGGGAAGAACTGGAAGCAGTTTTCCACCTGCCTCCCAGCCTGCTCCATTGAGCCAGCTGATAAATGCTGCCCTCTTGGCTTGAGGCTGATGGCAACACCTTGGAACTTGCTCTTTTCCAAGTGCTTTAAAGTCTCATGAAATTGCATGCATTGTGTGAGTATTCTCACACAACTTCACCATATTTCTTCAGTAGCTAAACTTCTCATGGTGATTTCCAAGTAGATCTCTATCACTGGATTTTACAGAATGGTTGAGGTTGGACAGGTCCTTTGATATCAAGGTTCAGACCCCTTCTGCTCAAGCAAGGTCACCCAAAGCAAGTTCCCTCAGACTGTGAGAGTGGAACCACCACAACTGTGGAGAGCCACTTGCAGTGTATGACCACAATTCCAGTCAAAAAGGTTTTTCTTGTGTTCAAATTTAATTTCATGTTTTGCAGTCTGTGCTGTTTACCTCTTGTCCTGCCAGAAGACAAGAAGGTTGAGGAGAGTCTGGCTCTCTGTTCTTCATTTCCTCCCATCAGGTGTACATTGGTTAGATCCCATCCAAGCCTTCTCCAGACTAAACAGCCTCGTCTCTTAAAGCTTCTCCACTTGAAAAAAAAATTCCCCAATCTCATCATCATGTTTGCACGTGGCCCTTTGCTGTGAGTCCCTCTCATGTACTGGGATTTTCAGTCCATACTGGGGCAGAGGGGCCTCAGCAGCCTTGAGCAGAGGGGAAAGGTCACTGCTTGAGGGCAATGGTTTGGCAAAGCTCTGCCTAATTCAGCTCAGGGTGAATCACTCAGCTCAGATGAATCACTCTTCCGCATGAGGGTACAGGGCTGGCTCTTGATGAACCTTGTGCTTAGTTCTTGACTACCTCTCAGATATCCAGTGTTACTTACAGGCTGGCAGACTTCTTTCTTCTTAGAGTGTATTTTTTTAAAAGAAGAAAATCTATACCTATGCTGAATCCTCACAAGTTTGTGGCAAACAGTCCTGGATCCATCAGTGCGCACCTTTCCCCTCCCATGTACAGACTATATCCAATCATCTACCTTGGTGCCTTATATCCTACCCAATTCCCAAGCGTGTTTCATGCAGAGATATTAACAAAGTCTGAAGCCAGTTCTTTTCCTGCTCATGCAAATGTACTCCTTTAATCCCACCCCCATCCCCCTGGCCTGTTTCTACTCACAGTACAACTGTTGAATATGAGGGAGGAATGAGCCCAGGATTCAGAATTTTATTTCTTTTAGCCAAAGACACAAGTTGTAGATTAATAAAATACAAGGTCAAAAAGGGCTATTTCATGATCCAGTCTGGCAGTTCTCTTTAGGTCCTGAATCTTGCCACAGCAGTTATGATTAGAACAATCCGTAATTCTTAAGTGTATGCTTGAATTCAAAATCAAATTGGTGAGCACTAGCTTCAAGCCTTCTGTCATTTTTTCCAGTTAGACTGTTAGATTGAAGAGTTCATTCAGGCTGAGCATCTTCCCTGCCCCAGGAAGGAGTGTGTCTGCTGCAATGAGACCAGCTCTCTGTCTTCTTTCTGGACAATCTCTTTTGCTCCTGAATTGTCTTGGGGGATTTGGATTTTCTTGGGGTGCCACTGAGTGTTGAGAACTCAGAATCTCCAAGTGGCACTTCCAGTGATTCTCATCACCTCAAGTGAAGCCAGGGTGGTTTTTCTGCACATGCATCCCTTCATACTTCCCCATATGGAGTTTCCTCTGCCATTTTAATGCCCCATGACCAAGTCTAGCAAGATCTTTCTGTGGTTCTTTACTACCTGCCCTTGTAACCTTGTGGGATTCACAAGCTTTCTCAACTCTATGCTCATCCCCCTTTTCATGTAATGCTTTTTCTCTTTAACTGCTTGTTTGTCATCGTAGAATGTAAGAGCCTAAATGAGAGACGTGGGACTCCAGGCAGCTCTCCAAAATGCAGTTTATTCCATCCAAGACGTTACAGCAGTCCAGGATTGTGGGTGACAGAGCCTGTGCCTACAGCTGTCAGCTTCAGCTGCAGGCAGGCCTGGAGACCCTTTGGTTTTGCTTACATTGCATTATATACTTTTCTTTGCTTAGCATCTTAGTACAGTAGAACCAATGTATACCTTAACTATTATCTATAGCCTATCATAACTACTGTAATTACCATATTCATGTTACTATTCTCCAATCACTAAAAGTTAGTACATTACAGTTTAGGCTAGAAATTGTTTTTCAGTTTTCTTGCAGTGGAAAATTCTGAGACCTTTTTTCTACTTGCAACTTTGCTGACTTGTTTGCCTGTGCTATCTTTCTGCTTGGTAAAAAGATCTTCTTGTTTGAGGTGGGTTTATCTTTTGCTCTAAGTCATAAAAACCCCTTCTGACTAACCCCTTTGCCTTCTTGTTTATCCAGTAAGACTGGCTCAGCAATTCTTTTCTTCTATATCAAAATTTGCTTCCATCTCTATTCCTTCATCAGACTCTACATTTAAAAATCTTTCTGCCAAGCATACATGTCTGTGAGATTTTCTTGTCAAACTTTCATCCTTCCCAATAGTAGAAAAGCAGAATGAGTGCATATTTCCATTTTTAAGGAAGACTTTGAAACATGAGTACAAATATAGATTAAGGGTATATATCTTGTTGAGTAGAGTCTACTAAAGTCCTTGTTTCTAGTGAAGTACTTGGAGTCGCTGCTTCCTTTTTGTAAACTCAGTTTTTACTTACTTTTCTTTAGAACTGGAGCTGACTGTGTTCACCACATGAGTAAAGCAGAGCAAGGATTTGAAAAGGTAAGCTACGGAAAATTCAGAAAGAAACAACATCACCTATTTAGTCCTGGACCCTTACAGTGGCAAGCATAAAAATGCCTGCAGGTAATTTGTCCCCTTTTTCCCTGCATCGCCCTCATCATTTTTGACTCCTCACGAGACTTAACAAAGGGATGAGTTATATTTTTTTTGAGATTACGCAAACTTTTCTGATTGTCAAGCTACAAGCATGGGGGTAAGCTCAGCCTCTGAGAGGTGAGCCTGAGGGATGCCCTGCCTTCTCTCCAGGACTCCAGTCCTCTGTCATCTCACATGCCCCTTTATGGAGAACTCCACAAAGGGCCAACAGTGAGTGCTGGCATCTTGTCACTGGCGTTGCTGTGACCATGTGCCACTCCCCACCAGTGTCCCTCTCTCTGCTGATGGCTGTGCAGGCATCACCCTGTTCCTGAAACAGTGCCATGCCTTTTCTCACTACGTCACCAGAAGGCAGATTCATGACAGGATTGTTCCGGAGGGATTGGCTGTTGCTCTGTGTTCTCCAAAGACCTTGTTAGGAGGAGAAGATTCTTTTTCTTCTAGCCCACAGGCTCCAAGCCTGCTCAGATAGAGCTGCTCTTAGTCACACCCTAACACCTGTGTCCTCCTAGATGTTGCACATCCTCCCAAATGCACTTCATATATTTTCTGGATACCCATTCTGATACTACACTATCACTTTTCTGGCTTTTTCCCCCTCTCTAGCTTTTTGGAAGAGAATTTTTTTCAAGGAAGCAAACACATTTCTCTTGGGTTTGCTCACAAAAGAAGCCAAATACATTATTTTAGAACAGGGTTTTTTGACAGGTTTGTTGGATTTGCAGGATAGGAAGAAGACTGACTAATAACTCCTTGGGAGCATTCAGTAAAGAGTAACTTACCTAAAAAAAGCAGGTTTATTTGTCTGTAAAACTTGTATCCCTTTTCCCACCCTCCCCTCTGCTTATCTTTGCAGTATAAGTGACAGGTCTCTACACATGCCCTCTCTGGCTTCTTTCCTCAGGTACTGCAAACACTGTTGGTGAGATAAGGATCATTTTCTGAAAGATGCTTCTTTTGTTCTCCACTTTGCTATAATCAATGTCTCCAGAATTCTTCTGTTGTTTATACAGTTTTCAAGACATTAGAGTCCTTGAATGCTGGAGCTCCAGATTAGCAGCTTGGACTCTGAGAAACAGTATGACAGTTTGCAGACGTTACACTAAGTTCTTCTTGTGTTAACTAATGTGGGAGAGCATGTCATGAGCACTTTCCAGGTAAACTGGGACTGTGATAAAAATAACTCAGTAAATACCAATCTAGGTGAAAAGAACCTTCTCTGGAACAGCTGCTTGTGACATCATGACTTGTCCTCGAAATTGCACTAGTTAAGGCACTCTTAAACTGAGAGGGTTGTCTGGACACAGACTGTTCTGTTGATAAACACCAGATCAGGTGTCACAAGTACTGTGTGAAATCATGGGCAGAAGTCCTCTTCTTAAGTCCTAACATGCATTTTTAGAAGATGAAAGCCAAATATTTCTGCGACATGCTTTCCATTTGGGTTTTGTTTGATTTTTTTCCTTTTAATTCAGGATGAGAAGAAAGATTCGGTTTAGGATAAAAACATGTCAGTAGCTCCTATACTTTGTTGGAGTTTTTCTGGTTGTTCTTCCAAGGCTTCTTCTCAGTTTATCAACAGTGTGTGGCTTTGGTTTCAAATCCACCTGTTATTTCATAATGCTTCTCAAAAAGGAAAGGGTTTCATTAAACAGGAAGGAAATCTGTCTATGTAGTATGTGTGGGATCGACTTAGGGATGTTGGATTTGGAATGAGGAGCAAAGAATTTCCTCAGGCACATGACTGTTCAATAGACAGCATTTTCAGCTGTCATCCAAATGTCTCCCAGGCCTGTGATGGTGACATCTGGTCAGGATGAATGTGGTCAAACCTGCATGTCTTCACTTACACAGTGCACCAGTGAGAGTCAAATAAAGAGACTCATCCTGTCTCTCCAGAGAATTTTCCTAACTTAGTTAATGCTCTCAGACTAAACTGCAAAGATCTCAGGCCATCAGAGGCTTGGAATTTTGTGTTAACCTGAGCTTAGATGTGGCATTTGGGGACATGGTTTAGTGATGGCCTTGGCAATGGCGGGTTAGCAGCTGGACTCAATCTTAAAAGGCTTTTCCAACCGAAATGGTTCTGAGATTAGTGCAAGGGAAACACCATTAGGACCTGTCGTTGTTTTAGGGTTTACTCTCTTTTAGAAGCTTACCTGCTGATTTTGCTGTGTTTCTATATGCTTATTTTGTTTTGTGTGGTACTTTGTGTTGTTGATCACCTTCCTAATGGGTATTCCTGGCCCACCTCTTGCTTCTGGAACTTTTCATTTTTGACCCTTCCGAATTAAGTCTGTGTCCCAGGACCATGTCCTAGAAGGATGAATTTCCAGGGGCCTGCACTGTCCATGGGCTGTCGTTTCCCACAGCTCTTCTGTTCATGTTTTTTGAAATCTCTGCCTCTTCCATAGCTACTATTAGTTCACTATCTGGTATGCTAAAATCTTCTAAATAAATTATAGCTTTATGTAGTGTCCTTGTGAAGGAGGTGTAAAAATACCTTGGTGAAGAAAGTCCTCATTGTAACAGAAAAAAATCCCCAAATGAAACCACACAACAAAGACTTAAACCTTGCCTTTTAATACTTTTAGGAAGCAAGCTAACAAAAATCTCTGTACAATAGAACTTAGTATTATGTAATAGTTCTTGTGTTACTTTTCCTTTTAGAATTCCTCCAAAGCAAATGAGCTTGAGTTCAGCACAGCATCCCTTACTAAAGACTGTGATCAACTGAGTTTCTGTGAGTAAGGAATTCCTGGTTTCCACTGAGTTTCATTCCCCTGGATACACGAGGAGTGTGTAGAGAGCGAGGTTGTGGTTTTGTTCTTGCTGCTGTTTCTTACAGGCGGACCTGTGGAATTTGCCCTTGAACAAAAAAGAGCAGTCAGTCAGGCTGAGGGTGCAGTGCAGCTGCTGCAGCAAGTGGACCAAACAGGAAAGAAAGGAAACATGAAGTCAGAAGGAAGAGGTCTCTCACAGTTCTGGAGAAGGTACTAATCCTACACTGATGAGCAGAGGCAGTCCTGGCTCTGTCTAAGCCTGTGTTAAAGGCTGATTCTGGCAGTGCCAGGTTGTTCTCCATAATTTTGAAGGACGGAGACATTTTTTCTGTGGTTAAACCAAAGTCTCCCAAGGCAAAAAAAAAGGGATGTCATTTTATTTCATGCTAAGGGGCAGCATTACCACTAAATCTTCCTCTTCTGAGCTGTCTTTGGGAAAAACTCCTGATGAGAGAGGGTGACTGAATCTCCATCACAGCCATTATACAAAGTGGCTTTTCTCAGCTGCAAGTGCCAGCTAAAAGGGTCTTCCTGGACAGATCGTCAGCCCCATGAAGCTGCATGTGAACTTTATTTGGCCGTTGAACAAATCTGGACTTTGACTCCCAAAGGCACCATTTTAAATGGAAATCAGTGTCACTGTTCAGACATCTGCTGATTGGCCAAAGGAGTTCTCTCATGCTGCTGAGGCTGGATCCTGTGGGTGCCATCCATCACTGCACAGAACCAGGTGGATATTGGCAGCTGCTGGTTTTTGTTTGGTTTTTTTTTTCAAAAGTAAAACTCCTTGTTAATTGTAAAGTGTGCCATTCCTTTAATGACTGAGACCAGACCATTAGTGCACAACTATTCAATGTTTCCTCTATTTTTTTCAGTTTCCCTCTGTATTGTTATGTACTAGCATTTTATCCTTCCGCACAGAAATCAGCTTTTTTCCCGATATTCAGAGAAGTATTTTAAGTCTAACGTGCTCTTCTTGTTGTTACTGTTTCCCCAGCATCATCTTTTCGCCACTACAACATCTTTTTGGTGGAAAAAACTGACCTGGAAGTACTAATTGTTGTGGAAAGGTAGATTTGTAGTATGAATATTGGGTTGCACTGTTTCTTCTGTAAGCATTGTAAACCTTTCTCCAAGCATTGCTTATCTCAGCTATTAAGTGTTTTAAATTAAATTCTACTTTGCTAATGCTTTCAAAGTAACATTCTGAAGATGTTGGGTTAGAACAACATGTTGGGTTTTTCTTCACATCTTAGAGGTTTTGGAATAAAGCAAGAAACTTTAGGATTTTGATGCTTAAGTGTTATAAATTGTGAATTTCATGTTATCTGGTATTCTAATAAAACAAGCATCAATTTTGAACTGTGTGTTATTTTAATCAGACTTACCCATGTAGAAGAGACTCTTTCCCTCAAAGAAGTAGCAGAGGTTTCTAGTATTAGATGGACATCAGTACTATGCTTCACAGCTTTAAAAGGGTCAAAATTAAACATTTTGCATTAGATATTGCCACTACGCTACACTTTGGGTAATTACTTATGCATTCAAAATGTAATGGGATGAGGTTGGAATTGAAGATTTCAGACATGCCAAGGCCACACTCAGGCAGTTTTTTGTTGCCATGCTTATGCTTTTTAAATTATCTATCATTCTTGAACGACCCCCTGAGCTGGGCTATAGGTGACTCTGCTTGGAGAAGGGCTTGGGCTCAATGGTCCGCAGAGTTTCCTGCCATCCTTGGCCACAGTGTGATATGAGGAAGTGTTTCCTGGGAGAGCTTATTTCCCTTGTTAAACCGTCTGTGTCTTGACCCATGAGTGTTTTCTCATGCCTTTGTGAGTCTCTCTCCTGTCCCCCTGAGGGAGTGGGAGTGGGCAGCAGGATGAGGGGGTCACCTGCCAGCCAGGGCCACCCCCTCCCACCCCTTAAGGGACTGCAGTCTGCAGAGAAGCCAGGTGGGAGCACAGGCAAAGCAAGAGCCCCTACTCTGTACACAGACCCTGTACCCTGCACTTGGGTAATGGCATGGAGTGTGACTTGCAGCTGTAATGAGCAGGAGGAGACAAGTGTGAGGGCAAGCTGAGCCTGGGAAAGGTCAGGAAGGAAGACTGGCTCACTTCAAATAAGCATGTGTCCTGGGTAACTCAAGATGTTATTGTAGTCCATATCTATCTGTGCCCAAACTTATTACTGTCTCTTTAAGATCCAGTGCCATGGATGAAAGTTGACATGCAAGGTGCAAAGACCCCTTTTCAAAGTCAGGGGTCTCTCAGGCAGACCCCTCTTGCCTTGTTATCTTTGCTCAAGGCAGAATCTTTGGGGCTTTTCTTTTTCCCCCTCCCTTTTGTTCCTCTCTTGCATCTTGGCCTGCCTCAAGGCAAATTCCAGGAGTGCCTGTCAGCAGTGCTGTGCATAAGGAACAGAGTGGCTCTGCTCCAGTCTAAGTTGCCCACAGCTTGCCAGCAGCGCCCAGCTGAGCCAAAAAGGCACCAAGTCACCCAGCCCAGCTGTTTTGCTTTGCCTTGCTTTGCCTTGATTTGCCTTGCTGTCCTCTGCTCCAGTGTGGCAAAGTCTCTCCATGAGTTGTAGCTGTTTGCTAAGTATCACCTGTGGAAAGTGCCAGCCACCTTTGCTGTTGGAGAGATAAGCAGAGAGGAAGCCTGACTGCATTTTCCCATTGTCTCCCTAAACATGGTTGCCTGTGGCAGATGCCATCTTGAAAGGGGAGAGTACCCTCTGTTTTGGGTTTGTCTTTGTTTCTGTGGAGTTTGTGGGATTTAGCAATTTTGTATCTAGTGATTATTTCCACCAGTAAGGAGAAATGAAATATGAGTAGATATAAGAGGATTGTGTACTCTGGACCTCATCTTGAGGTACAGGGGGCTGCATGTTATTTGAGTTTTGTCACATGCACCTGCACAGGACAGAGGGCTGCGTATGGCCTCTCAGCTGCTCAGCAAGAAGAAGTGACCAGCAGTCGTCTCAGGGGAAGCCATGGGCACAAGTGATCACCTCACAGGACTGCAGAGACAAATGCCCCCTTGTCTCTTCCCTCCCTGGCTGCCCCATGGCTGCACTTTGCCATCCTGACAGGCAAACAGTCTCCTTGGGTCTAGGACTAGTGGGAAGGATGTGGACCTTGTGGTGCCATAGCTGGGCATCCCCTGCGTCATGCTGCTGGGGAAGTTGGTGTCATTTCTGGGCCTACCAGACCACCACAGCATCCCTTCTTCTCTCTGGGACAGCTCCATGGAAGGGAAGGGGTTCGGTGTCCTTTTGTCCCCATATCTGACTCAGTGTCATGGGGTGCTGGAGCTCATCCTGCAGCATATGGGCCTTCCCCATGTCCCTACAGCTGGAGACACCAAAAATGGTGTCATGGAACAGTGACACCTGATCCTAGTTGTGCTTGGATGGGTCACATACCAACATGGATACCTCTGCTGTGTTTGGTTGTTCTCAGGGCACCCCACCTCAGACTTCCCCTTGGCTATGGCTTTAGCTCTGCCTTCACCCTCAACATGGGCACCCCTAGGAAAGGGGGAGAGAAACTGCAGGTGAGGGAGGAGCAGTGGATATGGGATTGTGGGGAGAGGCTGGCTCTGGTCCCCCCATTGTCCCTCCAGCACTGGGCACTGTTGCCAATTTGGACAGAGCAGGGGCATGGCTCCCACCGTTTTTGTTTCCGTGCACAGGGGTCTCTTGGGGAGGGGGACTGGATTCCTCACCAAAGCTGGTGGGAAGGAAAGGGGAGTTGCCAGGCTGCAGCCAATCCTCAGACCCTCCCCTGTTGGGGCATTTAGGGCAGACTTCAGGCTCCCCTACACTGTGAGGTGCAGGGAAACAAAGAGGCAACTCCCAGATCCCATGGCATTGGATAGAGCTCTGTGGAAATGGGGAAGCTGCATATCCACTGCAACTCCCTGGAATGGGCTTGATGGTGGGGTCCCATCCTCATCCCAGCTTGAAGATCCTGTCACTGCCACTGCTCCAGGAGTCTGATGACTGTCAGTGGGAAACAGTCCTTTCCAGGGCCTGCAGCCTATCTCTCCCCTTGGGGACCACCACACTATAGCTGCTCCACTCACTTCACTTCTTGCACCCCAAGAAGAGCTCCTGGAGAACTGCTTCCTTAGCCATCCCTGACCCCACAGCTGTGATCGGGGCTGGAAGTGCTCATTGCCTCAACTCTGTAAAGTCCCTTCCCCAGGATGAGACCAGCAGTGCTGAGGGGTCAAGGGATATTACCATCAACTTTTCTCCTTCACTCTCTTATCCCTCTGAGCTTTCCAAAGCCATGACCCAGCTCTCCTGCAGGTTTGCCACATCACTGACTTATATACCTGTGGCCCATCAGAGTGGCCTGGCTGTGGGATGGTTGGAAGCTGACAAAGAGGCATGGGACCAGTGCACAGCCTTGGGGCACAGAGAGCCCAGGCATCAGGCCCTGGGGTCAGAATAGGGCTTGCTTGTCCTGTGAGAAAAACAGCCATGTTGTTGTGAACCCACCTGGCAGTGCAGAGCAGGTGGCAATGTCTGTTCTATGCAGGGCCAGATATGCCAGACATAAGTAAAGGATATTCCTATCAGGACAATGGATGCAGCACATGGCCAAGAGACACACTGACCTGAAAGGGAGGTAGAACAGAGGACTCAGTTCACCCACATCACCCTGATTGTCAAGGTGCTGCTGCAGCCATGAGGGACTGCTCCTGCATGCAATAGAACAACTTCGCTCACAATCAAATTCTCCCAGCACTCACAGCCATACTCAAGATGCCCCAGCTCACTCCAAGTGGGAACCTCAGAGCCCTCCCCTAAACCTCAGTGCCAGCCCCATTGGCTGCCAGGGCCATTAGCACCAGCAGAGCTGCCCATGCAGAGCCAGCCTGAGGAGACATCTGAGGCCACATCTCTCAACAGTCTATTCTTCCTGCTGCTGCACTGACTGCTGCACACTCTGGGCCTCACTGCTGAAATCATGCAGTCCCCTTGCTGCTGCCTTCTCTCCCTCCTCCTCTACCTCTTCTTCCTCTCTGAGACATGGGCAAACCTGGAGGGTAAGTGGGACCCCTGGCTCATACACATCTACCTCCATGGGACTCCATAGGGGAGAGGCTTCTTGCTTCACACCCACCTTGGGCACTTGCTTCCTCACTCCTCCTTGTCCCTCGGCTTCACACCTCCTCCCCAGCAGGGATGCAGCCACCCCAGGTGGGTGCAGAAGATGGGAACTGGGGCTGCAAATGTGTAAGGGGCTTATGGGGAACCCACGGATCCCTGCAACATCAAGGACCCATCCCTCAGTTCCTCCACTTTCCTCAGCCCTCTTTTCCCAGTCCCATCTCCTCCCTGTCAACCCTTGTCTCATGCAGGGACCTTCACTGTCCGGCTGCTCCAGACTACCACCTTCCAAAACACCTCATTTGCAGACACAGAGGGGCTGGGCCTGCTGGAAGACATCGAACTTGGTTCTCTTGATAAACACACATGGTCCATCCGTTTCTGCCAGCCCTGGGTGCGCTCAGCCCTTCCCCGTGTTGACTGGGACACCATTGAAAACCTGCTTAAGATCTATTTGCAGCAGTTTAACCATCTAATCAATGAAGGGGCCACGCAAAAGGACATCCCCTGTGAGTGCTCGGTTTTTACTTCATCCCCTTTCTTGAAAAGCAGCTGGGAGGTGGGGAAGGATCTGATAGTGCTGGTGCTGTATAGGAGACACTGACCATGTCTAGAGGAAGGAAATCCCAGCCCCTCACGCAACCTCTGTCTCCTCTTTGCCCTGCCAGACCCCTTTGTTGTTCAGTGCACAGCAGGCTGCATGCTGTACCCCAACAGAACCTCCCTGGCCTTTGGCTATGTGGGTTACAATGGTCAGGATTTCCTCAGCTTCGACACAAAGAATCTCACCTGGACCCTCTACCAGGACACCGAGTTGTCACGGTATGTCCAGTCCTTTCTCCACAACTACACCGCCTTGAGTGAGCTGATGGAAACTCTTTTCAATGATACTTGTGTCGATGACATGGAGGTGTTGCTGCACTATGGGAGGGCAGCTCTGGAGAGACAAGGTGAGACCACCCTGACCCTGCAACAGCCAGCCCACAGGCCCCCACCCTGGGGCCCAGCTGTGCCCCACCCCTTTGCTCTCACTCCCCAGAGCTGCCTGTGGCCACGGTCTTTGCCCGCACCCCCAGCCTAGACCAGCTGCTGCTTGTTTGCCATGTCACTGGCTTCTACCCCCGTCCCATCAGCGTGGCCTGGCTGCGGGATGGCCAGGAGGTGCCTCCGGGCCCGGCGCTCAACACCAGCACCATCCTGCCCAACGCTGACCTCACCTACCAGCTCCGCAGCGTCCTGGCCGTGGCCCCCCGTGATGGGCACAGCTATGTCTGCCGTGTGCGCCACCACAGCCTGGGCACCCGCAGCCTTCTCATCCCATGGGGTAGGTGCCACCCGTGGGGGATGAGATGGGGGTCCTGAGCCACCCTGCACCACAAGATGGAGCAAACTCCAGAAAGCTCATGGCAGCTTCTCCTTATGTTTCCCAGGGAACTCAGAAGTGGTGCTGATCACAGGGCTCATGGCCGGGCTGCTTGCAGCCATGGCTGTAGCTGCCATGTCGGTGCTTTGGGTGTGGAGACAAAGGTCAGTCCCTGTCTGCCCCATGGAGCAGCATTGAGAGAGGAGAGAAAGGCATGCTGTGGGGATTTCTGCACTGAGCAGAAAAGCTCTTGCTTGGACCCTGGCAGATGCTGTCTGCACTCTCGCAAGGTTTCTGCCATGCAACATCCACCCATCTCCCTCTTTTTTCAGAAAGCACCAGCAGATGGAGGAATCAGAGTCCAGGAACTCCATCTTGAGCAAAGAAGCTTAGCTCAGAAGAGAGCTAACAGTCCCCATTCCCTCCCACTGCCTACACAGTAACCAGAACTACCTTTTTCTGCTTCACCTAAGTTTTGGGCATTGCCAATTGCAAGACTAACTTGATTCAGAGATGCACAAAAGAAACCTGGAGAGAGAAATCTGAGCTTTTGACACACCTGAATTTTCTAAACAGATGCAAGTGCACATCTGTGACTTCCTCCCTTGTTACACATGATGGTCTCTTCGGTGGTGGCACTGGCCAGTCCACCCACTGATGCCGTAGGACACCTCAATACCCAATGGCAAATCCTCCTGGTTCTGCTTCAGTAACACTTTTGTCAGAAGGTGGAAAGATGTCCCCTTCTACTGTCACTTTCTGGTAATTTTTTTCCTAAAAATTGCCTTTATTAGCCATATTCCAGAAATATTTGTGCTGAGACTGAACTGTTCCACATAGACTAACAGAACCTGGTCAGAAATGGCTTTACAAAGTGCTAAGTAATACTGAAACTCTGATGTAATGTGTGGGAGTTGCATGTGTATGAAACGAAAATAAACCATTCATATTTTCACTAAGTAATCTGCCTTTCCTTAGCAGTTGAATGGGCTTGGAGAGGTTTTGATCAGCCATGTATGCAAGTTGAAACACCACTGAATTATAGGCACTAAATTGCAGGAAGCAACAAGGCATAGGGGAAAAACAGTACATGTGTGCCTGTGCATATATGAACATGTTCTCAGATATTGCATGGAAATAAACAACTGTGCACATGGGGGTAAAGTATCTCCAAGGCTTCCAATAAAGGAGAAAAAAAGAAGCCCATGTCCCATGAAACATAGCAGAGTTCACACACACACAGGAAGGCATGCAGTTCATGCTCCCAATCAACTTGAACATGTAGCTTCAAAAGGTTTGGTTTCACTGGACAACTTCCTGCAGTTTCCCAGGATAAGTCTGGCAACAATGGCAAGCCAGAAAACCTGGCTGTCTTGTGGCCATATCCATCACAAATCCAATGGTGTTTGTTCCGCCCTGGCCAGAACCTGGAAACCACAATGCTGGGGTAAGTACTGTGTTTCCCTAGCAGCCAGTGTCACCTGCTGGCATCACATGGCTCAAGGAACTCACTGCAAGCCTCTCCCAGCTTCTGCTGACTTGGGACAGGCAGATTAAATGCTTAGGTGTGGGCATGCCTCCCTGTGGCCTTGGCACCTGCAGGGCAAATGGGGCAATTCCTCTCCCAGGTAGAGTGGAACATCCTGCAGCACTCATGATACCAGGCAGACCTGGAGATCAGGTCCAGCCAGTCAGGAAACCTGTTGAGGAAAGCTGTTCATGTGAATGACCTCCCAAGAGACCCTACAGTTCCACACCCACTAACAGCTGGTACCAGAGGGTGTCTGCAAGTGTTTGCTCACATCCCCTAAGAGACCTTACAATAACACACCCCATCCAGGCATTTTTAGAGGGTTCTTAAGGCACCCTATCACAGCCCAGTGCAGTGGTTGCTGCCGCTCACCCACACGCCCAGTATAGCACCCAGAGGCACTGCATCCCTGTTCCCTCCACTGCAACTCCCCCAGGCCCAGCTTGGGGGGTTACAAACTTCACCTCAAGGGAGATTGCAAGGACCAATGACACCTGTGGGGTCTTTGAGGACCAGGGGCCACATGAGAACCTCAAAGTCCAATAGTGCTCTAGGGCAGGGGGGAAGTGAGGACGAGTAATCACTTCAGAGGACTGTAAGGACCGACTGATGTCAGCTGAGGAAACTGGAGACCAGTGGTAACCTGGGTGTGACTCTGAGGACCAACGGACTGTGTGGACCTACAGTCAGTCCCCTGTCTCCTTGGGTCATTTTCAGACCAGAGAAGAGAAAATATGAAGGAGGAAGAAGTTGTGAGCAAAAAAGGAAGTGAAAAAAACTCCTGACATGAGAAGTACATTCAATAGAGAAGTGGAAGGGCTAAAGCAGAACTGTAAAGCACATCCACTGAGAGAGTGGGAGACATGGAAGGAATTTCTGTGGGGGCTGGACACATTGTGACCACCCACACAAGCCAGGTGCCTGCTCCTCTCCTAAGAGCAACTCAGGCAATTCACAGGACAGAGGGCTGCGTATGGCCTCTCAGCTGCTCAGCAAGAAGTGACCAGCAGTCGTCTCAGGGGAAGCCATGGGCACAAGTGATCACCTCACAGGACTGCAGAGACAAATGCCCCCTTGTCTCTTCCCTCCCTGGCTGCCCCATGGCTGCACTTTGCCATCCTGACAGGCAAACAGTCTCCTTGGGTCTAGGACTAGTGGGAAGGATGTGGACCTTGTGGTGCCATAGCTGGACATCCCCTGCGTCATGCTGCTGGGGAAGTTGGTGTCATTTCTGGGCCTACCAGACCACCACAGCATCCCTACTTCTCTCTGGGACCAAAGTATTCAAAAGCTTCATGGAAACAAAAGTATTCAGTGTTTGGACACTACTGAGCTGAACTCCTCAAACTTGCCCTTGCTTGTGGTTTTGGTTCTGCCTTTGCCCCCAGTGCAGGCACTACCCAAAAGAGGGGAAGAGAAACTGCATGTTGAGGGGGGGGGAGTTGAGAGGAGGAGTCGATTGGAAACATTGTGAGGAGAGGCTGGCTCTGGTCCCCCCATGATCCCTCCAGCACTGGGCACTGTTGCCAATGAGGACAGAGCAGGGGCATGGCTCCCACCATTTCTGTTCCCATGCACAAGGGGCTCTTGGGGAGGGGGACTGGATTCCTCACCAAAGCTGGTGGGAAGGAAAGGGGAGCTGCTTGCCCCACCCCCAGGTGTTTAGAGCAGAGTAGGGGCTCCTCAGCAGTGTCCTACAGCTTTGGTCTAGGTGGAACAGCTTGTTGCCTCCTCCCTGGGAGCCCCATCCCCAGAATTAGGCAAGTGACGCAGGAGCAGCCTGAGCTGGAGGTGCCAGGAGAGGGAGGGGGTATCCCTTCTCCCTGTGTAGGGGTTAAGAAGACAGCAACCATCTTTCTCCAGTCAGGTCTGAAATCCAAAAGCCATCGTCACCTCCATAGGTGCTGATGCATCCCACAAGAACAGCGATAGGACAACAGGTGGGGAGGGGGAGTCAGGAAAACCCAGCTTAGATGCTTGAATATCTATTTTCCTAGTGCTGTTTCATTGGTCTCTTTTTCCCCGCCTTCTCCTTCTGGCTGAGATTTCCCCAGCCCCAGCCTGTCAGGGCATTTCGTGCTCAAGACCTTACTTCAGCTTCTGTCTCTCCCACACATCCCCAGCTTTCAGCTTGGGACCTCTGGGCCCCTCCCTTGACACATTGATTCTCCAATTGGTGGAGAGCCACCGCAGTGACTGCTGGGCTGGGTTAAACTTAGGTTCCCACAGGTTCTTCCTCCTCCCCCAGTCACTGCTGCTGCTTCTTCAACCTTGCCGCGTGCACCATGCAGCCCCCTCACCTCCTCCTCTTCCTCTTTCTGCCGATCCTCCTCCCTGGGATGTGGGCAGACCCAGAGGGTAAGTGGGAGCCCTGGCTCACCTCAACCACTCTTACCACCCCCACCCTGTCAGAGAACCCCACAAGTTCTGCTCAGGGGAGGCATGGCCAGGCCACTGTGCCATATCGGGGGGGGGGGGTGGGGGGGTGGATGATTCCCAGCATCAGAGGGCCACCTCCCATCGTGCTCCACCCAAACATGCCTTGTCCCTGCCCACCCTTCCTGCCTCACCAGCTCCAACACAAGGCCTTGGGCACACAAGCAGAAGAGACAACAGTGGTCCCCAGCCAGGCCTTGGGTGTGGAGTTACCCTGCAAGATGTCCTCCCCCTGCAGGGAGCCCATGGGTGCCAGGCAGATCTCAGCTCCACATGGTGCTGAGGGCCTCTTCCAGCAGCCTCTCTTAGTCAGGGAGCTGCACCTGCCAGAGGGCTTTTTGGGCACTGCTGTCACACGGAGAGTTTTACCACAACCCTGTGAGATCTTACGCTTCCGGGGCAGGCAGTGTCAGACACAAAAAGTCAGGACTGATCTCTGGGCTTGGCTGGTGTCCTGGGCCTATCAGGGACCCCCAAATCTGGACAAAATGCCCTTTTCTATCAACCATCCTCCATATCCTCTGTACCATGTCCAGATCTGTGGCAGATACAGGTCCTGGCACAGGTGTTTCTCCTGGGGGGAAACATCACTCCAAACGAGCAGCAAGGTGCCCTTTCATCTGCTCTGCACAGTAATACAGCAGCTGTGGCCAGGAGGGAGGCATGGAAAGGAGGGCACAAAATGCCTAAAATCCTCTGCAGGAGACAACCACTTTGCTGAAAGAAAAATAGAGAAGGAAAAAGAGCAGTGAAGTTAGAGGAAGTTCAGACAGGAAAGCAACCCTGAGCAGGATGAAGAGCATAGAGTCATAGAAGCGCAGAAGGATTTGGGGTGAAAAGGACCCTTAAAGGCCATTAAGTCCAACCCCTCTGCCATGGACAGGAACCTTCCCTGCTCAGAGCCCCAAACAACCTGGCCTTGAATATTTCCAGGGATGGACATCCACCATATGTCTAGGTAACATGTACCAGTGTCTCACTACCCTGCACTTAAAAAATTTCTTTCTTATTATCTAGTCTGGATCCCCTGTTTCCCCTCCAGCACCTCCACTTCGTGTTTCCCCTTTAGCACCTCCACTCATCTCCTTCCTGCACCCTTTCCTGTCTCCATCCTCTCTCCTAGCAGAGCCACAGGTTATCCAGTACCTCCTGACTAGCCTCTTCGCCAACATCAGCTCTGCTGAGGTGTCATGTGTGGCACTTGTAGGGGACATAGCCATCTTTACACTGGATCCGGCCGACTGGAGCATCCACTTCCACTGGCCCTGGGTCAGCCAGGCTGCAGCTGAAGATGATGGGGAAAAGATGATGTCCCAGTACAAAATTGCTCTGCGCAATATGATCCGATTTGTGCACGACACAGTTCAGCAGACAAAACAACACTGTGAGTACAGAAACGAGCCCTGCCACACCCCTAGTCCTTCTCCCCAGGTTTTGGCTATGGCCTGCTCCCCACCAGGATGGCATTTGGGGGGATCTCACAGGGTGCAACAGCTGCTGAAACACTGCAGCTGCTGGGGAATATGACTAGCAGGGGTGGGTAGGGCAGCAGACCAAAAATACCCATTGGGGCTTCTGCCATCTAGCACAAGGAACCCCTGTGTATATCAGGGAGCTGCCGCCCAATTTACTGGAGCTGAAGGATTGACACAGCAAAGATCATGAAAGAGAAAACTGGGGCAAATACTTTGGGGACAGAATTCTTTTTAAGCAAGCACTCCACACCAGTATCCACTCCATTCTTCCAAGGGGCCTGAGGGCTTGCAGGGTGTGTGGGGTCTCCTGAAGCATGGCCTTACCCCCTGCTGCGCATTGCACCCTGCTTTCCACTGCATCCCTGTATGTGCTCTCAGACACATCCCACCTCATGCCACCCACGTTCCACCCACTCATGGGACCTCTCCATTGACTTTGCTGTTGACAGACCCCTTGGTGGTTCAGTTCCGTGCAGGCTGTGTGCTGTACCCCAATACGACGAGCCAGGGCTTCCTGAATGTTGGCTGGGATGGCAGAGACCTCGTAGCTTTTGAGGTAGATAAACAGGGCTGGGAGGCCCAGCAGTCATCCCAGATGGCAGAGCTGGTCAGCAAGAGCCTCAACAGGCAGAAGTCTCTCAGAATACTTCTGGAGCACCTTCTTTCTATCTGGGTATGCCAGAGCAACTTCCTCACCCTGAAGAGGTATGGGAAGGAAATTCTAGAGA